ATTTTTCATGTCCCGGCTTAACGCCAACTCCTCTTTCGGATATCCAAACTAACTAACAGAAATCTCCATTTCGATTTCTTTTGATGCTATGGATTTGTTATTAATAGGATCCAGGACAACGTCCGCTTCTTCAGGTCGTCTGCTTACGGTCTTTAATCAACTCACCCCCACCGGCTACTCAACATTCTGCCCTCACAGCATCCACACCGACAGCTCGCCCTGTGCACTTGGGCACAGCTCTCAAAGTGATTACAACCTTAGCTAAACAGTTTTCTGAAATTCCTATATAACCCTCAATCTTTTCTTGGCGTTTCATGTAACCTGGCTATAAAGCCATAAACTGTCTTTAATAAAAATTGAGCCAATGACCCTCTAATCCTTTTGAGTTGATTCATACTGATGTTGGGGTCCTGCTCCCAGCCCTCGGTTTGAAGTTACCGTTACTATATCATATTCATTGACGATCAACAAGATCACTCTTGGCTCTATTTCATGCATTCCAAGCAATGAAGCACTACTAAATCTTTAAATCTTTTTGTGCTTATCTCAAAAATACATTTTCCAAAATAAGACACCAAAGTTTCGCTCGACGGAGGGTGTAATATCCAAAAAATACTGCTCCGGATCGTCAAAGGACGATTGATCGTCTGGGACGGACATCAGTGGAAAGTTTGCCTTTCAGTTCCGTCGAGTTTGGCGATTATTCTGTCCGGATTTTGTTTCCGTTACGTTATTCGTCCGTGTGATCTTTTGATTGTTCAGTTTTACCGCGTAATTTCTGTTATTGTGACAGTGCGAGTGTGCACATTTTGAAGATTTTTGTCCGGGTATTTTTGAAATTCGGCGGTGTTTTCCGTACTCAATTTCTGTGAAATGGAAATTCTCTGTGCAGTAGAATAAGTGTTCTGGAATGTGATTATCTATATTCTGTGCGAATTTGGTTAAATTTTCTTGCAGGAAATATTGTGTAAATTCTGTCTACTGCCGTTGCAAGTAAAAAAAAACCAGAAGAAAAGCCATGACCGTACAATCAAAAAGAAAAAACATCCTATATGATCGGTACTCTGAACTTAGTCCGGACTTCTTCCCTTTCCCAGAACCTAAAACGCACAGAAAACAAGGGTGGCTCACAGCTCAGCAAAGCACAACACCCAATCTAAACTGCTCAGAATACCAAAACACACTGCATAGACAGAAATCAAGAATCGGAAAATCGGATACTAAGAATCGAATCACGAATCGAACAGAATGAAAAATCAGAACTTATACGGAACAAATATCAATCAGAATCAGAGTCGTACAGATCAGATCACGAACAGAATAAATCAACAGAGTTCAGAGTCATCAGAAATCAGAAATCACGGAAATTTCAGATCATATCAGAACGGAATGGTCGCGAAACTAGAAATCAGAAATCAGAAACAGAAAGATTAGAAATGCACAATTGCTTACAGACCAGATAACAGAAATCAGAAATCAGATCAAAATCAGATATCAGATATCAAAATATTTAATTCTAGCTAAATGCCCTGACACGAGATTCTTACGGATTCCGGCCCCCTTTGCCTCCCTTTCCCAGATCACATGACTGAATGGGCGCATAGGATCCTGCCCTTAAGCTGCCCTATGGTGGCTCCACGGCACATGAACAAATGTGCTAATAGCACAAGAACAGAATTCAGTCGGATCCGGAACAGAACGATTAGCGATTTCAGCATTTCGAGCTCATTTCAGATTTTTCTTAGACAAACTAACTGAATCTCATGCGGATCAGGCCCCTTATAACCCCTTTTAATATGCTTATACAACATAGCAATTATCATTCAGAAGAAATCTCGGACCAAATCATAGAAATCAGATAGAAATCGGGCAGCACAACGGCAGTAGACGAATTGTACCACAATATTTCCTGCAAGAAAATTTTACCAAATTCGCACAGAATATAGATAATCAAACATTCAGAACACTATTCTACTGCACAGAGAATTTACCATTCACAGAAAATTGTTAGTCTACGAAATAACAACCGCCATGAATCAAAATACCGGACAAAAATCTTTCGAAATGTGCACACTCGCAGGATTTGTTATAATAAGTTTAATGGATAAGTTCCAAAAATATACAGAGTTTACGCGGTAAAGAACTGAACCCAGATCAAAAGATCGGCAACGAAAACCGTAACGGAAACAAAATCCGGACAAGAATATATCGCAAACTCGACGGAAACTGAAAATTGTAGAAACAGGCGGAATTGTGCCTACCCTTCGCGTACAGCATATTCTGAAACAGTCACTTCGGACGAAAACGGCTCCGCGTCGTCCGAGCTCAAATCAACTTTTTCTCCAAACAACAATCCTCGAGTTTCCCTCTCAGCAAAATCAAGATTATTTAATTTATTTTCTCTCTCGTCTTCAAAACAGACTGACTTTCAGCTTTATAACCTCAATTCGGCCGGCCGATTGCCTTGTTGCTTGATGAGCTGTTGAGCTCACCATTGTTTCTGGTGGTTTTCAGGTTCTGGGAAAGGAAGGAAGTCCAAGACCTATGAGTTCAGAGTCCGATCAGGTATCGGTAATAGTTTTACTTTTGATTTTTTTCTTGGTACGGTCATGGCTTTTCTTCTGTGTTTTTTATTTTTTTTTCTTTTCTGCTCGACTAGCGCATAGTCGACGTCCGTCCGAGAGCAGAGAGCTGAAGTGACAGAGAAGTGAAAATTATCGAGTGAAATGTAAATAAAGCTTTGTTTCCGATTCTTGTACGTCCTGAATTTAAAATGATAATTTTTCAAGTTTTTGGGTCGAGTTCGTGATTAGGCGCTTGACAAGACATAAAGCAAAAGATTAAATTGAAAAAAATTTCGGCACTTGTATCACAGAAAGCTACGGGATCTGTCCGCTTTTTCTATTGGCATCCAAAACGCAGAGATAGTCTAAGGTGCTAGAAACGGCTAATAATTTGCTTCAAGTTTTAGATTTATCATCAACTAGTTTTTTTCTTTTGAAGAAATATTATTTTTTATTAAATCTAGCCTTATCTCTACCATAATCCAGCCAGTATATGTTAAACTATTCAATTTCTTGATAGTTGATTGGAAAATTCTGTTTGCATCTCTGTTCTCTTCTTCTTAAAATATATCAACTACAATCTAACCTTTTTTTTTTTCGCTTTATTGGCTAGAAAAATAGAGGTAGCTGGACATATGTTTTCATGAACCAAGAAGGTGTTAAAAATGTAATTAATCTCAGCTAGCCCGCTTATGACATGTTGTTTGACATTCAAAGTTTGTAATATATTATATAAGTAATATATATATATATCCATATATCGTAGTGCTTGTTGTTATTATATATGTATCGAAGTGCTTAATTTGCATAGAAAATGATTTCGCTACTAGAGGATGTAAGTGAGACTATGATTTTTATAGCAACTGTTTGGTCTTTATTAAGAACTGAAATACATATCTCGTAACATATAATGTATATAATAAACACCCAATAGTATATGATTCGTACATAAGAGAAAAGATTCAGATAGTTCACAGGATCTAGTTAAAGAGATGGCTAATGGACTTGGGCAAGACTATTATTACTGGTCCATCCTTCCTAGGTTTTATAATATGTTTTGTAAATGCTCTTGTTTAATTTTTTTGACTTCTAGATGACTTAGAAACTACTCATTGGCTTGCAGTTGTTGTTAAGGACTCAGGGAA